CCAACGAACCTCCAGATGAAGTCTCAGGCCCTCGTGAATTTCCTAGGTATGAAATTGATGAAGCTTGATTTTAGGTGTTGATTGAAGTCTATACTATAGGCTGTTTGAGAGGAGGCTTTGTGAGGATCAACTCTACTCGCTGTGGGGATGGTGTGTGCACAATTAATTAAGATTTGGTTCAATGTAGAGTAGTGGGGAAATATGTTTTGATTTCAACTGAAACTTTGAGCTCAAAAGTGAACTCACACAGAAGGAACCAAAGGGGGAAAATGGTGGGCTTGAACTGAGGAGGTCCTAGGGAGTCTCTGGAAGCAAATTGGCAGAATTTCCTTAAGAAATTTTTAGTTCTCCCCCCATTGGCCATGGGGGTGAGATTTAAATAAAATGGCCTAGGCTAGCTGTCAGGGCCAATTGGGGGGGGGGGGGGGAGGAAAGAAAGGGGAGGGAGGGGGTGCTAGAGAGTGAGAGAGAAAGAGAATGAGAGAATGTTGGGTTGAATTTGTGGGTGGTGGTTCATGGTTTAGCCATTTTCTGGCCACCAAGGTGGCTGACCGGCCAGGGAGTGGTCACCTCTTGGCTCAGGAAGGTCAGGGAGTGGCTCGGTGGCTAATGATGGTTAACTCCCAATGGTAAGTGATGATGGTGGAGATATTTCAAGTTAAGTCCAAAACTGGGTTAAAATCCCTTAATTTGGGTATCCATTGGTCCATAGCATGTTTTGGTGGATTTAGGGTGGTTTAGCCTGCTCCTTAGGAGGAGCTTAGTGGCTATGGTATCCTTGTCTTGGTGGCCTAGACATGACTAAGTCAAATTTGGTTAAAGGGTTCAATTTGGGTCAAAATGGCTAAATGTTGGGTTTAAGTTAGGCTAGTGTTAGGCTAGCCATATCAATTGGCCCAAATGATTGAGAAATTTGATGTAGATGATTGTAATGCAGAGTTTAGAAAATATTTGGAGTGATTTTGAGTTTGTTTGAGGGTTCAATTTGGAGGATTTTGATCATTTGGTCAATTTGGGCATGTTGGGCTAGACTTGAGTCAAGATTAAGCTAGGCTTAGGCTAAGTCAAAATTGATTGTTTAAAATAGTCAATAGGAACATCATGAAGAGTTTTCAACATAAATCAGGTACCAATTTTGGGTCTAAGGTAATCAATTTGGTGGGATTTTGAGGTATGACCAATTTAGGGCAAAATTGGGGCTTTTGGACTTAAATCAAAATTAAATGAAATCAAAATTAAATGAAAAATTAAATGAAATTGAGGTCTCACCAAGGCCAGTTAAAGATCAAGTTTGATGTGTAAGATTGTTATGAAGAGTTTTCAACATAAATTGTGGCAAATTAAGTAGGTTATGGGGTTCAATTTTGTGTGATTAAGTCATGTAGCCAAAATTAGGGGTTTGACTTAGATCAAAATTGGGCTCAAAGCATGGGCCAATTAAGCTTGGATTTGGTTTAAATTGGTCATATGAAAGGTGAATTAAGTTTAGGTTTGATATTGAAGAAAATTATGCCCAAATTGATGGACATTTTAGGTGAATTTGGGGAAATTGGGCCTTTAAAGACAATTTGGGGGTTTTGGTCAAAGTGGTCAAATTGGCCAAATTGGGATCAATTGAAGGGTCCAAATTGATTTTGGAGACATTTAGAGTGATTTTGGATGTTTTGGGAAAGTATGGGGTGCCAAGGGTATTTTTGTAATTTTGGCAATTTAGGAGTATTTTGGTAATTTTGATAATTTTGGGTCGTTTTGGGCAATTTGGGTATTTTCAAAGGGTTTGAAATAATTTTTGAACAAGTTTGGATATTTTGGGTGAATTTGAGGATTTTGACCAAATTTGGGATTCGGGGGTGATTAGGTATATTGGGTTGCTTGAAAGGTCAGGGTATTTTGGTAGGGTTGGGGTATCAACCAATCTACATGAGCTATGGATTAATGGAATCCCCATTTGGGCCCTCTATGTTTTGGTCTTAGCTAAACCCTAGCCTAGGGCTAGTAGGTTTAGGAGACCATCTACGTGAGTCTCCCAAAAGATCAAGGGATCAAAGTCAACAAATATTGGGTTTAGGGTTGTGAGGGATTGTGAGTGAGAGTGAGTGAGAGTGAGTGTCTTAGCTCCAGCACCCAGGGTCAACCCTAAGGGCAAGCAGTCCTATGGGAACTCACCTTGAGCTCCCCTATATTGACCCCACCTACTAAGTGCTAGAGGCTAGGACCAATATGTGGAACTTCAAGTTGAGCAAGGAGGAGTGTAGAATTTCTAGTAATGAGGGTTCCTTTTCTAGTTTTCTAAGAATAGAAGAATAGTCAAATAGGAAAGTCCTATGGCTAGACCTTAGACAACTAAATAAGAAAAACTAAACCTCAACCAAAAGTGAGGTTAACAACGGGTTAGATAGGGAAGATACTAGCTTTCACTCTAGAGTTCCCTCTTCTCCCTCGACCTGGGGGCTAACATCTCGTATCAAAACCTACAACAACATACTAAATTGGGGGCTTTAGCCTGTCATCTAAAATCCTCTAACTCTACACCCTTCAAATTTTATTTACCTAGTTATTTACACTCAACCATATGAATTACATTCTCATCCATACAATCTCATGTGATTTCCACCATTAGTTGACTGAGACAATACCATCACGGATCTTACATGTTCTCACAACAAATATAAACATCTTAATTGGCCAAATCAAGAAGTAAATGAATTAAAAGGTTAAAAATCATCACAACTTATTCTAACATTAAAGATTAATACTTCACACAATATCCATCCAACATATAATCACTTATCATATTAAGGAAAAAGATAAGAAAAAAAACTACTCATAATTCATGCAGAATACACAACCACACTTAAATTTAAAAGTAGAAATCATGCATACACACAAGAAGTCTAAATTAAAACTAAATGTAGTCACAAAGATAAAAACTTATTTTAAATCCTCTCGATAAAAATTTTAAAGTTCCTTTGAATCTCTTCTCTTCATTTCTCTTACAATACTCTCTACTCACACACTACAACTCCTCTCCTCTTCTTTCTAAAAAAGTATCCTAATTAATCTATGAGAGAGGCGTCAATGGCATCTGAAGTGGGACGCGTAGGGGGTTGTGGCATATGAGAGAGATTTTCTATTTAATCCAAGTCTTCTTTTATAATTTTCCAAAATATGTTTTGGTGTCTCTTCAAAATGTGTCCACATTCAATGAATCTTCCAGGAGTTTCCTCCTTTCAAAAGCCATTTGAATGTATTTTTTTGAATGTATTTTTGTGTTTGTGTCCATTAACCATATCTCACATTTTCACCAAAAGTTGCTTCAAACACTCCTTCAAAAGTTCGTCCAAATTCATTGTATCATCAAATAACTACCTTTGGCGCTTAAGCACGAGGTTTGTGGCACTTAGGCGCGGCTTTCTCGGTTTTCCTGATGCTTGAACGCTAGTTCTGGGCGCTTAGGCGCCACAATACTTTTGCACATCTTCTTCATCTTTGCTCCAAATTTGATCAATTTTCACTTTTTTTACCATTTTTCTTTCATTTGATTATACCTGAAAGAAAAACACACAAATATCTTCATTTAAATCGCAATATACTAAAAAATAAGTATAAAAATATGTACATAAATGTTTTATATTTTACTTATATGACATACCAAAATTTTAGCCTTTTTAAACTTTAATAAAAGTTTATTAAGTGATGCCAATCAAGGAACTGAAACGTATAAAAGTAAATTGTGGCAGGCATTAATATAATAATATAATAAACTTGAGTTTAACGATATCATATCTAAAAACCAACTGTCTTCCCAAGAACTGGGTCTTCAATAAATGTAAATAAAAAATTAACCCAAAACCAATGCAAAAAACTACTAAAAAGTAAGGGAGTATAATAAGTATATCATTGTCATCACATTTTTTATTTATGGTCTCTTGTTCTTGTTGCGGTTTTGCTTCCAATATGTATGACAAAAAATGTAATCTCAGAGAAGAACTCAACTCCATGCACCTGGGAAGGCTTTTTTTGCGAAGAGCAACACAACAGAGTTGTCGGCTTTCCCCATGAACATTCGGCCAACCACTCATGCCCTACCACCTCGCTCTAACAGATCAACTACCTTTGGCTGGCCACCTCCCATTTTAGACCGACCACCTTTGATCGACCGCCCCACCGACCAACTTCCCCTCATCGGCCATCTCAACCCGTCGACCAACAAACCCTGCCAATTAAAAAGCTCCTGAGTGATAGTCCCAGATGACAAATGGCTAGAATACCACATGAAAATCCCCTTAAAGAAAAATAATAATGTAATTTTATATTTTTTTCCATCCATCTTCTCTAGATAGGGAAACCATAACATGTAGTAGGGGAGCTGGCTCTTCTCACTTAACCCATCTCATGTAGGTATAACTTTTTTCCCTTCTCCATGTAACTACGTTAAAGAAATAAAAAGTGTCATAGGGCTCACGGCCACTCTGCCTTCTCCTCTACGGGGCAAGTCTCTATCTCTTTCTCTCTGCCTCAATCCCTACACTCTATCCCTTGGGCATGATATACATGACAAATCTAAGTTCGACAAACAATAATTTTAAATTATATGCCTTTTTTTTATATAGCATATTCTATTTATTTTTTACTAAAAATTAAAAGGAAAGTAAAATTCTCAATAGTAATTTCAAGTTTGGATAAAAAAAATTAATGTTATTTTCGAAATTATTATTTTATGCTCCTATTAAAAAATTTGCTGGCTTCGGCCCTCTGCTCTTAAAATATTGGGCGCGATCGGCTTGTCCTCGCTTTGCCTCCCCAAATAAAAATCACTATACAGCAAAAGTTGAACCTAAAATCATTTTGAACATAAAAAAAGTTCGACATAATATACGGTTTCGAATATAATAAAATTATTAATTATAAATTAAATACTTGATATTTTTAAATTATTTAATTGATGCATTATTAAATGATTATAAATTTCATAAAAATGAAAAACATGAATACCCCGCTATTTGAGTGAGAATTTGAAAAATAGATAAAGATTCAAATAGATAAAGAGACTGCATAACTCGTAGGAAGTAATGTTTTAGTTGCCCTCCATTTAGTTTGTATAAAAATACACCCTTTAAATAAATTCTAGCTGCCATGGGCAAGCACATTAAGTAGCGCGAGAGCGTTGCTCGTATACTTCTTCACCCCGCCGACGCGGTCGGCCATCACCTTCGCTCCCCTCACCGCACTCACTCCATCGAACCCATCGATGCACGTTTCCTCGTTCGTCATCGCCGCGCTCATCCACGTCTGCGCGTTCGAAACCTCCCACGCCATCCCGCCGCTCCCGCCCGTCCTTGTTGCCTCCCCGACCTTTCCCATTTCCGCCGCTGATTGCTTCGTAAGATCAGCCGCCGTTCCAAGCACTTTTACGCAGTCCCGCATCGCTGCGCCGAGCCGCCCAGCGCAACTCGGCTGCAAAGTAGCCGCGAGCAACGAAGCATCATGAATCTTGGCGAGACTCACGGTAGCGGCCGCCGTGGCAAGCTTCGCGGGGTTCTGCTGCACCGCGGTGGCGTATGGGGCAAGCGAGGCGTAGCAGAGGCGAGGGTATAGAGTTATGCTGCAACTTCGTCGGATGAAATCTGATGAATTGTTATTTGAAGTTGCTGCGGCGGTTGAGAGGAGAAGGAAGAGGGGGAAGAAGAAGAATCTGTTTGCTATTGTTTCTGCCATTTTTTGTTCTTTTTTCGTTGGAGAGATGGGGAGGGCGGGTGATTTAAAGGGACTGGAACATGGAAGCGAAGGGGAGTGGGGAATTACGAGGCTGCCACTCGTTTGAGTGGAGGGTGGAGGATTTGGTGAATGGTGCGGATGGAAGTTGTTACCATTAGTACGTGGGAACATTGTGAGGAAAAAGAGGCGTGGAGGAAGGCGGGTGGGGTACATGCTGATGCGGACGGCAGTCCTCTTGGCTATGCATTCATACTCAATTCTGGCTGGAGTGATATGGTCCCAGAGATTCAAACCCAAGTATGGCTTCATTTGGAGCAATTTATGGCTTTTATTTTTCATTAATAATATTTCTTTAAGTATTTTTGAGAGATAAAAATTTAAGGGATTAAAATATTATTGAACTGATTATTTTTCTTATTGACTGCTGACAATCAAATAATCGCTCCACTCAAATTGCTTGAATTGAGTTTAATTAAATCACACGATGGAAAAAAAAAAAATACCACAAAAATATTCTGACAAAATTTTCTTATAAAAGTAGACATTTAAGCAGTTGATTTATTCATATAAAATTTGATTGAACTTTTATATATTATATTCATTTTAAAATAAATTTAATACATTTGAAATATATCATGCTGAAATGTAATGTATAAATGAATTCTTATTAAAATTTAATGACCCACATTAATTTATGCATTAGTGAGAAAAGTTCTATTAAAATTTTTTTAGAAATATTAGAATTTCTTTTTTTTTCTTGGAAATTGAAGATTGTAGTCAACTTTATTGATAAGAAAAAGAAAATATAGAGTCATCAATAGATTAATCATCATCAGTAGAAGAAAAAGTACAATTTAAGAAGACAAAATAATTTACAACGAAACCAAAAGAAACAACTACGTCTAATTAGAAAAACTCTTATGAACTAAGAAGAAAACTCCAAACCAAAATCTTCAAATAATAAGTGATCTAAAACATCATCCAAAAAAATATGAGTAGCATATCATAAATATCTAGCAACCTCCAACAATGCTTAGGTATCAATGTACCATGAAAGAAGATGATTTAGGGGGAAGGAAAAGCTTCACACAAAATCCAACACAACAATATCTACCTTACAATATAGAAGCCTTCGACTAAAAATCTCACATAACAACTCAAGGAAACCAATAATATCACAAACATCTCCAAATCCTTGCAAAGCCAAAAACATACTTACAAAAATAATAAAACAAATCCAAAGACGAACATGAGAATAATCTAATTATAAAGAGATATTCACGACCCACTAGAAATACTAAAATTCCATCAAAGATCTATAAGTATTTTAAGGAATAAAACAAAATAATAATAATAATAATAAGAGGAATGTTATTATACAGTTAGAAATCATCATAACTCAACTTAAATGAATGTCCAACATCAAGTGAATATATACTTCTGATATATTATGACAGAGTAAAGTATCTGAAACTATGCAGTTTAACAAAAGACAACACAAAGCACAAGGAAGAAAGTAATAACTCATATATTTATGTCCCACAGAAGAAAATATTAAAATTTCATCCAAGAACTATGTATATTTTAAGATCTAAACTCAAAAATATTAATAAAACCATTGAATCTTTATGTGAGGTTGGAAAACATCACAACTCAACTAACATACTAAAACACAAATGAATTAAACAGGAAATGAATAAATGATCTAAATATACAAAGATCGAGATGAGATATCAGAATTTATTCTGCTTAACTTAAACATCAGCCTTAATCAAGCGATTAGATAACAAATAAGAAAATATCCAACCTAGAACATTGAATATTTCAAAACTAATAGGACGGGAATATTCATAAGAACAAATAAATACATAAACAACAACCACAAAAAAAAGGGAAAAACAAAGCTCATCATAACAACCAGAGCAATTAAATATTATAAAACTTTTTAATATAAAAAGGGATACATTCTTAAATTTTCATCTTATCATCTTTTGAATAATGATCCAGTGAATATTTTCATGTATGTAATTATAAGATTTTAGAAAAAATCATTCTAGAGTATATGTTCTCATAATTTTATCTCTTCTAATTTTTCCATTCTTATAGCACTAATTTACTTCTCTTTCACTTATTCTAATTAATCATTTGTTAATCCGTCTTATGTTCGAATTTTAATATTTAGTAAATTCGCACTGGATGGCAGAGGTCGGGAGCGGTTGGCCAACTTTTGACTTGTTTAGCAGCTTTTAATTGGGGCTGCGCACGCTGTGGTCTCCACGGACACACTGAATCTTTGACCTTTCACGACTTCGGTGACATTATCTACTTGTTCACACCATTTATGGCAACTGCTTGTTCCCCTGGAGATTTCTATTTTTTTGAAATTTTACGTAAACATCACCCCATTTTTTATGTTTACATATTTAACATTTGAACTTTTATAATTACATGAATATCACATTGGTGTCATAAATATAAATGTAGAGATGTGTATTTTACTTTATTTATGTGATGTTAAAAATTAGAATATTGAATATGTAAATGTAAATATATGAATTGTAGATAGATACATGCGTAAGAGTTGTCTTATATATGTAAATACATTCTTTTTCTTATTTCTTGCCATCCTCCTTTGATTAATGAATTTCCAACTTAAATTACCACATTGACGTAAACCCGGAGTTTTCCCAGCTCGTTTAGTGATTACTATTTGACAAATTTTCCATCAAAAAGATTTTAAACGATTTTAAACCAGGAAGATTTACATACGTGCCGTCTAAATCTTATGTGTTAATTGTTGTGAAATATATACCAGTTGTTGTGGTATATAGAATAGAACGATCGACGACGAAGTAAAAAATTAAAATGAAAAAATTCACACCAGAAAACAGTAACACAGCGGAACACACAATTTTACTTGGTTCGGCAAATTGTCTACATCCACAGAGTTGTAGATGATTTTACTACTTAAGGAATTTACACCAGCCGATCGTCTTGACTTACAAGAGGAATCTCTCACTTCTCTACTATTCTTCTCTCTCTCTTCTTCTCTCTCTACACCGAGATATACTGAAGGAGCTCTACACCGAGATACACCGAAGAAGATAAACTTACAAGAGAAATAAACTCAATTTCTCTTATGCCACAAGCCACCAAGAAGAAGTCAAAGGAGAACAATCTTCTTCTTTTTTCTTCTCTGTTTTGCTGCAAGGAACTGTTTACACTTCTCTTTCTCTATCTCGAGGAAGCAATACTGACGAAGAAGAACTCAAATGGGTTAATCCTAAAAAACTCAAGGAAAGCCGCCCCTTTTATCACAAAACTGCATGGAGCGAAGGGATGCTTCGCTTCGCGTCAGAGGAAGGCGGGAATGGTTGGCGCTGTTAGCGAACGAACGAAGGCGGGAGCAGTTCGCGATTTTGCGCGACACAGAGGGAGAAGCGATGATTCGCGAAAATAAGAGAGGAAGTGGGATCAGAAGGCAGGAGGTGGGATCGGGTTCCAGCACAACAAATCTCCCACTTGGAGACCGATACAAATGCTACAACGTCTTCTTCCTCAAACTGATATCCTCCACTACGGTGTCGCTCTTTTCTTCAAACATGAATCCTCTTTCTCTACAACTCAAGGCCTCTGTCTTCACTCCAGAAGACTAACTGAAGCTGCGCACAACTTCAGTTTCTCAAGAGTAACACCCTTATTCAACATATCAGCAGGGTCCACATAGCGCAGGGTCCACATAGCCTTGCACCACCTTCAAGCAATTTCCTAGACTACTCTTGTCTCTGTTCTCCCACTGCATGAACAATATCCTACCTATGCTGAAAGTCTTTTTCAACAAGTCTAGCGTTGTGCCTCTTACTGCCATCAAGCTCAGTCTTCATCTGGTACACCAACTTATTATGTAATGCCTTTTTTCCTTGGTGGAAGTTCTGCTAGCTCCCACTTGCTGAAATTTCCATCTTACCAAATTTCTTCATAACTCTATGGTTCTCTGCCATCTGTTTGTGGAACAATAAAAATGGGTGTCTCAGTCCCACTCTCTTACTCTCTTCCATCATCAACAAAACTATGAACTACCAATAATAGTGCATCATGTACTTCTTCAGATACCACATTTGCGCTATCAATCTCCATATTCTAAGGATTCCTGAAGCTCCTCTTTATGTGGCCAGCCTTGCCACAAATCCAGCAGGTTTCCTGCTAGGCATACTTTGATTTTGATCTCCCTCTATTTGAGTTCCTATTCCGCCATCTCCATCTGAAATCAACATTCAGTGCTGAACCTGAACCTGAGATCTCATCAGAATATTTCCTGCGCACTTTCTCAGCTAAAATCAAATCATAAATATCATCACATTTCAGTTTAGATTTACATACAGAACTACTAACTGCCATCCTTATGGCTTCCCAACTATTTGATATTGATGTCAATAATATCAGCGCATATATTTAATCATCAAAATCAATTTCAATAGACAACAATTGATTTTTGATAGATTGAAATCATTCCGGTGTTGAACAACATAAACACTTTCCACCATCTTCAATTTGAATAACTTCTTCATCAAGTATACATTGTTACTCACCGATGAATTTTCATACATACCTGATAAGGCTGCCGTGAGATATGCAATCGTCATCTCCTTGACGATGTTGCGTGCAATGGACCTTGATAGGTTCAATCGAATAACCCCCAGAACCTGTCGATCAAACATATTCCATTTAGCCTTATCCATCCATTGAGGTCTTTTTCCCAAAAATAGAAGAAGTTTCTTCCCTTAAAGATAGTTCTCTATATGCATCCTCCAATAACCAAAATTTATGTCATCAAATTTCTCGATTCCTAAAACATCCACTTCATCTGTAGTCATCATTCTTCCTCATATCTGAACAAAGCTCTGATACCAATTATTTTTGTATATAGAATAGAACGATCGACGATGAAGTAAAAAAGGGAATGAGAAAAATCACACAAGAAAACAGTAACACAGCGAAACACACAGGTTTACGTGGTTCGGTAAATTGCC